CTTGACTCTGGAAGAGCAGCCAGCACTCTTAACCGCTAAGCCATCTCTCCAGCCCCACAAAGTTGTCTTTTGTCCTCTACATGCAATGCACATGTCTGTGAATGCGTACATGTGCATTTGTACACAATGAACACACGCATAATTAATAAAAAAATAAATAAAATATACATTTAATACAGCTAAAGTAATAATACGAAAGTTGAAATAGGTGTAGAAATCAAAATAAGCCGAATGTGTTGGTGCCTGCTTACCATCCCAGCACTTGGGAGGCTGAGGCAGTAGGATTATAAGTTTGAGACCACCATAGCAAGACTCTGTCTTAATAAATAAATAAATAAATAAATAAATAAATAAATAAATAAATAAATAAAAGCTTTTATGTATTTGAAATAATTTATTTTTATTGTTTTGGAGACAAGGTCTCACTGTGTAACCCTGGCTGTCCTGGAACTTACTATGTAGACCAGGCTAGCCTTGAACTCTCAGTGATCCACCTACCTTTGCCTCCCAAGTGCTGGGATTAAAGACATGCATCACCACCACACCTGGCTTTGTAATTGAAATTTTAGTGGAATTTTAAATTTAATGAAATTGGAGACAGTATACAGCTTTATCCACAGATTGTAAACAGTTGGAAAGAAAAAAAAATAAATGTGAATAAAGTATTGAAAATACTGTCTGAAAAGACATAGGCATGAAAAACATAAGCAAGAGGTTAAGAGTCCTGGAGGTCAGAGACAGAAAATTCAACATGAGTTTAAGGGGAGTGCTGGAAGAAAAGAAGGAATGGAGCAGAGGCCATGTTTCTCTGATTGCTTTTTTGAGATAAGAGTTTCACTGTGTAGCCCAGGCTGGCCTTAACCTTGAGCTGTCCCTACTTTAACACCATAAGTGCCGGAATGACAAGCATGTGCCACCATGGTTGGCTCGTGGGACAGTATTTAAAGAGATAATGGGAAAATATATTTTTTATTTTATTTTTTTTTGTTGTTTTTTCGAGACAGGGTTTCTCTGTGTAGCTTTGCGCCTTTCCTGGAACTCACTTGGTAGCCCAGGCTGGCCTCGAACTCACAGAGATCCACCTGCCTCTGCCTCCCGAGTGCTGGGATTAAAGGCGTGCGCCACCATCGCCCGGCGGGAAAATATATTTTTAAGAGGTAATGGCTGTCAGATTTTTTTTCACTGATGAAAAAGGGATTCATATAATTAAGATCAGTGAGTGAGCCTCAGGCAGAGAAGACATGTTAAATAAATCTACACCAAGATACAGCAGATTGAAACTTCAAACACTAGAGATGGAGATGTATTACGCACAGCTGATGAAGAAAGAGAATTGTCAATGTGTCTCAGTGGAAATGGATGTTGAGGTAAAAAGGAAAGTTAAGATTAAAACAGCGAGGTTGGGTCAGGTGGTGGTGGCGCATGCCTTTAATCCCAGCACTCGGGAGGCAGAGCCAGGCAGATCTCCGTGAGTTCGAGGCCAGCCTGGGCTCCAGAGTGAGATCCAGGAAAGGCAAAAAGCTGTACAGAGAAACCCTGTCTCAAAAAAACGAAAAAAAAAAAAACCCAAAAACAAAACAAAACAAAAACCCCAAAAAAACCCAGCGAGGTTGGGAAACACTGTGGATGATAAATAAGAGGGCTCTGAGCCAATGTCAGCAGGCTTCCCCAAAGTCCCTTCCCTTAAGGAAGGTGTGCAAGTCTTCATATATTCTTGTTTTCTTTTCTTTCTTTCTTTCTTTCTTTCTTTCTTTCTTTCTTTCTTTCTTTCTTTTTTTGAAGGCATGAGGTCTCACTATATAGACCAGGCTGGCCTTGAACTCATGATGTAGACAAAGCTGGCTTCAGACTCACAAAGATCTACCTGCTTCTGCTTCTTGCAAGACATGATTAAAGGCATGTGCCACTGTGCCTGACTGTGCATTTCTGAAGGATGGACATGGAGTGATACTTCATAAACCATTGTGCCAGGGGTTTTCTGTGTGTCACAGCACCTTTGTGCAGAGAGGAAGAGACTGAGTTCTGTTGCATTGAACAAGTGGCTCGTGGTCAGAAAGTTAGTTGGTGGCTAAAGGCAGATGGGTACCACAATCTCACACATCCTTGGAGCTAAATAGAAATCCCACAAATAAATTGGGGGAAGTAAAAGCTACCCCCACCCTGTTTATGCTTTTGGAACCTGGGTGTGATCATAGAAGAGGGAAGCTTGTGGTGCGTGTGGAAGTTATAGTCTGAGATGAGTTCAAGGTTGTACAATTCCAGATGAACCCTGAAAAATCCTAGAGACTTCATGGAGAAGCCACACACCACTGGCCATTCAGAAATTAAGAAACTGGTTGACCAGGGTGTTCCTACTGATTCTCTGAGTTCCTTCTGCCCCTATGGATTATCTGAATTCCTTTTGCCCTGTAATTTTCAGACTTAATACACTAGTGCCTCATTCTTCCTTCAAAACTAATTCCAACTGGAGGCTCCCTACCCCTTTTCCTCTAGCCTGTCCCTCACCACTTTGATCTTCTCTCTCCATCTCACAGTTGGCTCCATTTCTGCCCTTTCTCTCTACAGAACTCCTTAGTAAGCCCACGTTTCATGTTGGAGGTTGTCCATACTCAGAACAGAGCCAAGAGCCTAGGTGGCCTCCAAAAGCAGTGGTTCTGTTGAAAGAACCCAGCCTCAACTTCTTCTAGTGCCCACCAATATCTCTGTTCAGGTTCTGCAGTCTGTACTGCACACAGAAAGTTCAGTGTTGGCCTCTGGACGGTGGGCTCCGAATCCAGACCCCTTCCATATTCTATGGGCCAGTGTCACTGTCCTGGCTCCGTTAGCACTGTCAGGGAAAAGACTGCTCTAGCCGGGGTCAGCAAATTTTAGGGAGAAGTTTCCTTTGGCCCCATCAGCACCCAGAGGAGAACAGCTCCGACAAGCTCTGATCAGCACCCACGGGTGGACAGCTCCCTCATCCACACGTTTGGAGGTCTAGCGGGTTGGGCAAAGCATCTGGCGAGCGGGCCAACCCGGCTGTCTTTTCGGATTTCCTGGGGAAGGGGGGGCATGACTGCTGTTCCTAGGGCCTCACCCACCCCCACGAGCCGCCCACCTCCCAGGAGCACTGCACAACGCAGATAACTCGAAGTGCGCAGACCCGGGTCGCTACGATCCTGGCTCCTGGGTCTGTCGCACCCATTTCCCCACGGCATCTTCCGGGGGCTCCTTTGGTCCGGTCTACCAGCCGGTGCCTGCTCCCACCGATTCCTTCTCGCCCGTTCCTCCCTCCGACCACGCAAGCCACGCCGCCAGCTCTCCCGGCCAGCCACCTCACCACCATCACCACCACCACCGCCACCGCCGCCACCGCCACCGCCACCCCACACCCCGCATCCCCCCTCCCCTACCTCGGCTCGACCCCCCCAATCCCCCCCCCCCCCTCAGGCCCCGCCCTGCGCCACTCCCTCCCCTCACCCCTGCGGCGCGGCTTGCTGCCGCGGTGTCCTGGCAGGGCGCTGAGGTGTGTCGCCGGCGGGTGTCGCAGGGCGTGTCACGAGGTGAGTGGGGGAGACAGAGGCCGCGAGCCTGAGCACCAAGGGCGCGCGGTGGTGCTCCTCACCCCTCCCCCTAGCTGCCGGCCGGCGGTTCCCGGGAAGATGGCGGATCGCGCGGAGATGTTTTCTCTCTCCACCTTCCACTCGCTGTCGCCTCCGGGCTGCAGGTACGCACCTCGGCGGGTCCCATCTTCATGTGGGTCCGTCTCCTCGGCCTGCTACCACCCTGCCCTCCCCCAGACCCCCATCGACTTCAGCTCCCCAGGCCAGGGGCCTCTTTGGCTTGCAGGCCTCTGATTGATGCTGCCCATCCCCCATCCTGGGCTCCGGGTCCCTCCGTGTTTGCTCTCTGTCGCGCAGACCCAATGGCACCCCCTCACACACAGACACACACAGACACAGACACACACATACACCTTTCCTCTTGGGATACCGAACCGCACCCAGTCAGGACAGATGACCTGGCAAGGGTGGGGTCCCTGGACTGACCCCTTGGAGGGATTTTAGGCAGGGTGCCCAGCACCTAGTGCGTTCTTGGCAGTGTCCTTTTGGCCTTGTGGTATCTCTTTCCGTAGAGGGCTAGGGCCTGGCCTCTACCCCTCTATCCCCCCCCCCAGGCCTGGGGAGAGTGAAATCAAGCTTGAAGCTCTGGGGTGGGGTGGGGGGGTGTTGGGGTGAGAGGGGGCTGGACCTTGGGGTGTAAGTCTGCTTGGTAGGAGGGGGATGGGGACACAAGCAGAGCAGCTGGACCCCTCCCTCTCCTATTGTGGCAGCATCAACTCCCCCCTCCCTGTTGGCTCAAGGTGTCTCCCCAGAGGCTAAAGCTGTGACCCACAGGGGCTGGGAGCGGAGCTGAGGAGGAGGAGGGGGAGGGGTGTGGGGAGGGATGGCTCCTCCTGGCTCATTTGCTGTGATGAAGGAAGGGAATCCAGAGGAGAGCAGTGCCTGGGGGTCAAAATGACATGACTTTAGCCTAGGAGTTGGGGGCCCTGGGAGCTAGACACTTCCCACCAATGTCCTCAGGATCAGCTCTCAGGCCAGGAGCCTAGGACTGACTGGTGGCTTCTCTGACCCTGGCACCCTCTTCAGGCCTCCCCAGGACATAAGCCTGGAAGAATTTGATGATGAAGACCTGTCTGAAATCACCGACGACTGTGGACTGGGCCTTAGCTACGATTCGGACCACTGCGAGAAGGTGGGGAAAGGCTTGGGTGGGGAGGTTCTGTTGGAGGGAGGGCTGCTTCACAGGGGCCCAGGTGTCCTAGCGCTCCGGTGGGTTTAAGAGCGTCTGAGTTCAGCTTCCACGCAAGAAAGCCTCTGCCCTTGCCCATAGCCCTTTGGTAACTGTCTTTCCCAACACGTTTGGAGGCCCTTCAGAGGGCCTTCTCTGTCCGGTCTCCCCAAAAGGCGTGCCACAGGAGGCTGGAGAGTGCCTTTGCCTGGGTGCCTCTCTACTCAGATCACTTCCCACAAAGGTTTTCTGTCACCACTCAGCCTCCGTGGCCACTTCTTTTCTGTCTCATCGTCCTCTAAAATCTTTTCCCTCCTGCCTTCTGGTCCTCCTGTCTCTGCCTGTTTCCATTTTCATTTGTTCTGAGAAAATGCCGAAATGTGTCCAGTGCAGGGGGCTTCCGGGTATTGGGAGCAGAACCGCAACCCCCCTTCCCCCCCACCTCCCCTCCCAGCTTTCAGTTTAGCAGGGGGAGAAACACAAGTGAGAGAGAGAGAGAGGAGAGAGATCACCGATATAGGCCAGTGGTGGGATTCCAGCTGGATACAAAGTGTGATGAGGGGGAAGGGGAATCCAATCCAGGCGGAGGAAATCAGGAAGACTTCGCAGAGGAAATGTCATTCATAACCCCGAGGTTAGCAGGAGGCAGGCAGATGGGGGTAGGTAGGAGGGTGTGGAAGAGACGAATTGCTGGCAGAAGGACTGGCTGTGCCAAAGACCCTGGGGTTGGTACAGATTTGGTGAATCATCGGAGTGCAGGCTGTCATTTATGCATGTTGCCGTTACTTATTGATGATGTTGCCACGGGGGAGTTCACCAGTGTATAATGTGGACATGACCCCGTTCTGGTCGTCTTAACAGTCTGGGGTATAAGACAGATCAAAAGCCATGAGTTGTGAATTGTTAAATTGCTATGAAAGCAACAGAGTGGCCGTGTCAAATATGATGGGATTTGGGGGTGAATAAAGCTGGAAGGTTACTTGGGGTTACTCTGAGAATGTCTCAGGAATTTGGGCCCTTTCTGGAAGTGCAGTGATCAATACGTGTCTTAGGCAGACGTGTTTGCAAACAAACAAGCAAGCGTTGTTCTGTTGATGGGGTGAACTGGAAAGGACTCTTCAGTTTCTGACTTTCCCCTCTCCTCATACCTGGGACTCCAGGATACTGCTGTACTCTGGCCCAGCGCTGTCTTGTCCCTCCTTCCTGCAGGACAGCCTCTCCCTGGGTCGCTCAGAGCAGCCACACCCTATCTGTTCCTTCCAAGATGATTTCCAGGAGTTTGAGATGATCGATGACAATGAGGAGGAAGACGAGGATGAGGAGGAAGATGAGGAAGAGGAGGAAGAAGGAGATGGGGAGGGCAAGGCAGGGGGAGGATCTGGTTCAGAGGCTCTTGTTGGAGAGACCCTTCTTCCCTCTCCTTCCCTAGAGGAGTCCCACAAGCACCGACCCACCACTCTCCACCTGACCACACTCGGGGCCCAGGTGAGCTTCCTGATACATACAATTCTGAAGTTGAGTTTGGAGCCCAGGCAGCCGGCCCCTCCCTCTCTTGATGGCTGGAGTGGTCTCCAGCCACACTGATTTTGTCCTCCTACCCAGGACTCCTTGAACAATAACAACGGCGGCTTTACCTCTGCACCCCCATCCTCCTGGCAGGAGACAGTGCTGCGGTCGCCCGCCCAGGAGCCCGTTAAAGGTGAGGGATGGGGGCCAGCAGAAGAGGGAGGGGAAGGGAGGAATGGCTGGGTGCCGGATGGAGGCCTGCGGGAAGGAGGCCTGCAGGAAGGAGGCCTGCTTTCTGGAGGCAGTGACCCAAACCCCTCCCTTGCAGAGCTCCCGGCCCCTCTCAGGCCGGCTGAAGAGGAGCCCCATGAGGCACGGTCTCTGGTACACCCTGGTTGTGACTGTGAAGGGAACCAACCCCCAGAGCCACCAGTGTCCGGTGGGGCCTCGCCTTCCTCTGATCCTGGGATTGAGGCCGACTTGAGAAGCCACTCGAGTGGAGGCCGCGAGGGTCGGCGAAGCAGCCAGGAGCTCTCATCACCAGGCTCGGACTCGGAGGATGCAGGGGGTGCACGCCTGGGCCGCATGATCTCGTCCATTTCGGAGACGGAGCTGGAGCTGAGCAGCGACGGCGGCGGCAGCAGCAGCGGCCGCTCGTCCCATCTCACCAACTCGATCGAGGAGGCTTCATCGCCAGCCTCCGAGCCGGAGCCGGAGCCGGAGCCACTGCATGAACCTCCCCGCCGCCCTGCCTTCCTGCCCGTGGGCCACGATGACACCAACAGCGAGTATGAGTCCGGCTCCGAGTCTGAGCCTGACCTCAGCGAGGATGCCGACTCGCCCTGGCTGCTCAGCAACTTGGTGAGCCGCATGATCTCGGAGGGTTCCTCGCCCATCCGTTGCCCGGGCCAGTGCTTATCTCCAGCACCGCGCCTGCCAGAAGAGGCAGCAGCGTCACAGGCCAGCCGGGTACCCCAGGACTGCCAAGACCCCGAGGCAGTAGCAGGGCCCCACGTGGAGTTGGTGGACATGGACACCCTCTGCGGGTCACCTCCGCCGGCCCCGGCAGCGCCTCGGCTTGGCCCTGCGCAGCCTGGGCCCTGCCTTTTCCTCAGTAACCCGACACGGGATACCATCACCCCGCTTTGGGCCACAGCGGGCCGCACTGGCCGCCCTGGCCGCTCCTGCTCCGCTGCCTGCTCGGAGGAGGAGGATGAGGACGAAGAGGATGAGGAGGATGAGGACGATGCAGAGGACAGCGTGGTCCCTCCTGGTTCTAGGAGTACGGGCTCTAGCGCGCCGCTGGATGCCTCGCTGGTGTACGATGCCGTTAAGTACACACTGGTAGTGGATGAGCACACTCAGCTGGAGCTGGTGAGCCTGCGGCGCTGTGCAGGCCTGGGCAACGACAGCGAAGAGGACAGCAGCTGCGAGGCCAGTGAGGAAGAGGCGGGAGCCACATTACTAGGTGGTGACCAGGGGCCAGGGGATGCCTCTCCTGACAGTCCGGACCTCACCTTCTCCAAGAAGTTCCTCAATGTCTTTGTCAACAGCACGTCTCGATCCTCCAGTGAGTGGCAAGTGGGGGGAGGTGGGAGGGAGGCAGAGGAAGAGGCACCATCCTGGCCCCAGGCCCTATCTGCCCCCCCCCCCAAAGTTTCCAGGAGGCCTTAAGTTCTAGAGGTAGTCAAGGCTGGACACTTCCTTTTTTTTCCCCGGGACAGTGAGCAGTGATTCCCCCAAGGGGAAGGGAGTCAGCCCATAGTGGCTTGCTCTTCCTTCTTTTCTTAGGATACCTGACAGTCTGTTGCAGGGAGGGGATTTGACTCCAGCCCAAGGCCAGGCCTTTAAATACTTTCTTTCTCCTTGGAGTTCCTGACTCTCCCCATCTCTGTTTCTCTTATCTGACTCTCAGGCACAGAGTCCTTTGGTCTTTTCTCCTGTCTGGTCAATGGGGAGGAGAGAGAGCAGACACACCGGGCTGTCTTCAGGTACATCACCTCCCTTGCCCATGACGATTCCCCAGCCCCAGTCTGCAGATTCCTCAGGACATTGCTGTATGTGACATACCAAGGCCTGCCTGGTCTCCACTGATCTCTCACCTGACCTCAGGTTCATCCCCCGGCATCCAGACGAACTGGAGTTGGACGTGGATGACCCCGTGTTGGTGGAAGCTGAAGAGGATGACTTTTGGTTTCGAGGCTTCAACATGCGGACTGGCGAGCGCGGGGTGTTCCCCGCCTTCTATGCCCACGCGGTGCCCGGTCCTGCCAAGGACCTGCTGGGTAAGACCCCCGCCTGCCACGGCAGACTTTCTCCTGTATCACCCGCTGACTTGGGTCCGTGTGACATCTTCCCCCCCTCCCCTCCCCAGGGAGCAAGCGGAGCCCTTGCTGGGTGGAGCGCTTCGATGTGCAGTTCTTGGGCTCCGTGGAAGTACCGTGTCACCAGGGCAATGGCATCCTGTGTGCCGCCATGCAAAAGGTCAGTGTGGAGATGGTGGCAGGCACAGGCTGGAGGCCCACCTGGATGTCACCCCAGCCCCGCGGGGTGGCATATAGCTCCTGTGGCTCCAAGGCCTCCAGCCTCGAAGGGGGATGTTACAGGGCTGGCTCTCGGGCCTGATTCAGAAGCCTAAGACCTAGGGCACAGTGAAGCAGCTGTGCCCCTTACCTCTGCACCGATTGGTTGGTTCAGTAAAAGCATTCACCTCGCTTCTGGTTCCTCCTCTCTTAAGCCGTCAACTTCCTGTCTGGAAATTAAAACCAACTCTCATAACCTCTTCCCTGGGAGTCCCTCAGTTGTTCACTCAGTTATCCACTCAGTGGACAATTGTCAGTACCCGCTGACCTGCCCCCTGCCCCAGAAACCGAGGCTGATGATGGGTGCTGAGGGGCAGGAGAGACCAGCTCTGTATCAAAGAGCTCCTGCAAGGTTATGGGGGATCAGGCGACAAGGTGGCTGGCAGTGTGGGCAAAACAAGTTTTTGGCACCTGAACCAGGAGAAGCAGCCTGGTTGGAACAGAAGGGAGGCAGGCTAGGTGCGGGGTGATGTTCATTGGCTTGTTCTGAGAGCCAAGATGGCCAAGGTCGTCCTCTTGTCCTCCAGAATTGTCTCTGGGGCCCTGAGGTGCCAAGAGTGTTCAGAAAATGAACAGAGGCATGGAGAGAGAGAGAGAGAGAGAGAGAGAGAGAGAGAGAATATGAAGGGTTCCTCAAGACCCTCCCTTCTCGAACTTCTCCCTCAGATTGCCACAGCCCGGAAGCTAACCGTGCACCTGCGCCCTCCTGCCTCTTGTGACCTTGAGATCTCTCTGCGGGGGGTCAAGCTGAGTCTGAGCGGAGGAGGACCTGAGGTGGGAGTGTGATAGGCTGGGGACCAGAGGGAGGCTTTTGGAGGGGGCGGTGGGGAGGTGGGACCCTTAAAGCCCAGGAGAACTGTGGGGCGGGGACGTCAAGGAGGCGCGCAGTGGGCGTGGCTCCAGGCTTGTCTTAGCCAATGTGGGATGATTCTGCTCACCTCTGCTCCAGTTCCAGCGCTGCAGTCACTTCTTCCAGATGAAGAACATCTCATTCTGCGGCTGTCATCCCCGAAACAGCTGGTAAGGACTTAACCTGTTCCTCCGAGACTCCTTCAAATGCTGAGAGGGTCACTGGTTCTCCGATCCCCACCCGCCCTCAGGGCTCCACCTATACCGATACGGTTGCCCAGTCCATGCCAGTCAGGCTAGACACTGGTCCAGCTGGGATTCTACAGGGGTGCATCAGAATCCTTTCTCAGTTCCACTGTAAGGAAAGTTGAGACGGGTGGATGGTTAATTTGCGGGACTACGAAGTAGGTGGTGGCTGAGGAGTAGCTGAGTGTGCCATGTTTGTGTAAGGTTAGGGATACATGGTATTAGGTATGAAGATCATAGACTGCTTCCCTTACCTCAGTGCTGCCACAGACCGACTATGTGCCATTTGGCAAGATACTGATGCTCTCTATGCTTAGTCTCTATTGGTACACTTACCTTGCAGGGCTATTATGAAAGGTGTGAATTAATATAAATGCTTAAGTAACCTCTGTTAGATATGGGGCCGTGGATCTGGCTGGCCACAGTTCCGGGGTGGGGTGAGATCTAGAGTCTCAAGCTGCTCGTCTGGATAGCAGTTGCTGTTAGCATTAACGGGGGGCCCAGGGCTAGGTCAGTGCTCTGACACCCCCTTTGCCCCTGTCTCCACAGCTATTTTGGCTTCATCACCAAACACCCGCTGCTAAGCCGCTTTGCCTGCCATGTCTTTGTGTCCCAGGAGTCTATGAGACCAGTGGCGCAGAGCGTGGGGTGAGTGGGAAGATGGAGCAGGCCCCCAGGGAGGATATGGGGCTCAGAGAGGCTCAGGTGCATGTGTGTGTGTGTGTGTGTGTGTGTGTGTGTGTGGCTGCAGGTTGCTAGAAAGGGTGCTGTGCGGACACATGGTTGCTAGTCAAGACAGTAGCGCGTGGCTGGGGAATCGACAGGAGGAGCACGGGCCTGAGCACTCTCCTCGCCTCTCCCTCTTTGCAGCCGGGCCTTCCTGGAGTACTACCATGAGCACCTGGCATTTGCCTGCCCCACAGAGGATATCTACCTGGAGTAGCACCCACCTCCCTCAGCTCCTGTCTACACAGCTCTGGGTATCTCAAGGCCACCATGGCTTGAGCAAGGACTGGATTGGGGACCTTTGGAACCTTACAATTGTGGGAGTCCCTGGGCTGGGAACTCTTAATCCTTTATCCCCACCCAGGTCATGGCTTTCGGGAGCTGTTGGGGAGAGGAGCCTCAGCAGCCATACTTTTCTTCTGATGCATCTTTTCTCTCTTGTCCTCCTTCGCCCTGTTCCCCCAACTACCTTTCCTCTGTCTCCCACCTCTCTCTGTGCCTGTAGACCTCGCTCTTTGCTCTCTCTTCTGGAGGTTGAACTTGAGGGAGGGGAGTAGGTTCAAGGTAACTGATGAAGTCAGGTCCCCCAGTGGTTCCCTCCTGCCCGTCTCCTGTGATTTATAAATGAATTTTAATTTTTATAGTGAATCTCAAGGGATCATCCGGTCTTTGATCGCAGGAAGGGACCCTAGCCCCAACCCACAAGGAGCTCAGGGGAAAGAGGGAGGGGTTTCTAAGAGAACCTTCAGGCCATTAGACGGTTCTTGCTCACCCAAAGCCCCCAATGCTGCTAGGAGGAGGGCACCCCAAGGGGTGCTCCCAACAGGTCATCTGCTTTGCCGCTAACACCCCTGCAGTCCAGCGAGTGAGTATCTGCCCCGCGTACGCCGCCTGCTGTGTACGTGGGCCCTGCCCATGGCCTCAATAAACTCTGCTTGGTGTGACCCTGGCTGTTTTTAAGGTGGTGCCCAGGTGGGGGTCCAAGTCTCAGGTCCTGCCTGTGGCAATGGAAACGGGGGACCCAGAGTGAGGGGGTTATGGGAATTGGGAGAAGTCTTCAGTACTTTCTGAAGTCCTGCTGCGGGTGGGTCACTGCATCCTCTGCTAGAGCCTTGTTGGAGGCGGTGTCTGGAGGTTCCCACAGATGCTTTCTCCAAACACACTTGATTTTCTGCAGAGACAGCCGAGGCCTGAAAGAAGGCACTAGCCACAGACCCTGTGTCTTTCCCATGTGGGGTATGGGGAGAGGCATGGTTCAGATCATTGTGTGTGTGTGTGGGGGGGGCAGTGTTGTGTGTGTGTGTGTGTGTGTGTGTGTGTGTGTGTGTGTGTGTGTGTGTGCCATGAACAACTGGAGAAACAATGTCTGTGGGTCTTAAAATTGGTATTTTCTAAAAGTCATACTCAGAAAGCCAGAAGAAAAATAGGTGACTTAAAAAACAACAACAACAACAACAAAAAACAAAAACATGCTTGTAGCCTGTAGGTGATTATGGAGCCTCACCAAGATTCTCTCCTGGGGCCCCCAAGTGACTCCAGCCTCAGCGGAGTATCAGTATGACAGAAGGCTGCCCCTGAGGATAGGTCTGTGCCCTCTGATCTTAAGCAGTACTATAGCAAGATAACCAGCAAAGGTTGTGAATCAAAGAGTAGACAAAGGGCAGTCCTGACAGTTTGCTACATAAAAATAAAAAACTCTTTGCAGGGCATGGTAGCACATACTTATAATCCAAGGACATTGGAGGCTGGGGCAGGATGAGTGTAAATTTGAGGCCGACCTAGACTGCATGATGCGATCCTGTCTCAAAAAAAAAAAAAAATAGTAGTAACTATAAAAATCATCTTAAATGTTGCTTCAGTGTGTCAACAAACAAAAAAATATTCACAATATATGTGAAGATCAGGGATGAAGACCAGTTGCTGTGGAATTGTCACTTTTTAGCTAGTATGCCGGGACATCCCATGTGTCCAAGAAGATTTGTAAATCCCTTTCTGCTACTTAGCATTGCTATAAAGAGACAGACAGCCGCTTGGGGATGGTATGAAACCTGTACCCCTGTGCTGGGTGATGGAGGCATGGCCTCCAGACCCACACAGCTTTGCAGCAGAGACCATTCCACTTCCAGTTCTGTGCCCTTTGTGTCCTGTGTCCCTCCTGGGCCTGGCCTCCCTCCCCCGACCCTCCAACATGTCTCTTTGGTTCTTCATATGATTAACATGTTTCCTTCGGCCTGGCAATTAGCGCAGCTGTGGGACACGCTTGGTGGCCTTTCCTCGCTGCTCTCCTCCTACCTCTCCAGCTGCCCCCTAAGCCCTGCTCTGTGCTGGGTTCCTCTTCACTGGCTTTAAGGCAGGCAAACATAGGGAATAGCTTAGCAACCCCGGACTCCGCTTGGTTTGAACTACACCCCTCTTCTAATAATGCACTTGGCGGCCTGAGATTCTGCACACACTACAGCACATATATCCCCTTCCAAACAATGTATCTAGTAACTTGTTAGCAACCTAGGACCCCCACCTGCATTGAGATGCACGCACACTCCACTCTGAAAAATAGAGTAAGTTTCTCTCTCCCTTTATGACTACTAAACTTTATATCCTTTCAGTCATGTTCCACAAATGTCCAGTATGAGACTAAGGAGGGTAATTTGGTGTTAGCTGGTTTGGGGGCACATGTACATTAAAGCAAACTGTTCTGTAGGTGAATTTTTAGGGAGAATTCCCTATTTACCATTTTGTACCTGTGCATAGTTGGGCATGCATATAATTAAAGCAAGATGCATTGCAGGAAGAGACATGTGCGCTGGACAAGGGGTTTATGTGTTCCGAGCCTGTCCTTCAAAGTAGAGAAACACCCAAACTATGCCTATAGCCTCTCCTCCTTTAGTCTCCATAAAAGAAGCCTGGACACAACAACCTCCTCACATGGCCTGCAGTCGCTCTTGACAGCATATCTGACCTGTACTATCACTTTGCTTTGAATAAATTTACCTGGCTTATAAGGTGTGTGCTTATTTCAGTTTCTCAAATAAGATGCCAAGAGCCTGAAAATACCCAGGCCAGACCCAGACCACTGGTAACAGCTTTGTATCGTCCATAGACCCAGACTACAGGTTATAATACCTTTGTATCACCCATAGACCCAGACTACAGGTTATAATACCTTTGTATCACCCATAGACCCAGACTACAGGTTATAATAGCTTTGTATCGCCCATAGACCCAGACTACAGGTTATAATAGCTTTGTATCGCCCATAGATCCAGACTACAGGTTATAATAGCTTTGTATCACCCATAGATCCAGACTACTGGTAATAGCTTTGTATTGCCCCTGGAACTGACCCCGAGGGGCAGATCCACGTACTGTGCTGTGCTGTGCACTAACTCATAGCTCCAGCTGACCTGACAATCACTCCCATAGAGTCACTCCAACAATTGGTCACTGGGCTAGTGTTGAGAAGGATTACTTGCAAAGGACCCCAGTGACTGCTCAGGGGACACCACACGCACTTTTAACTAAAGCTTGAATTTACAAGAGACTCCTCCACCCACTGTATATATTCGGGTTCTGTGTTTTACTTTTTTTTTTTTTCAAGTCACCTAAACTTCAGGGCTGAGGATAGACCAGACTCCTCTTGTCTGTCCATTGTCCTCACCTTCTCGACTTGGATCAAACTGCCTTGAGTTTCCTCCTGGACCTTTGTACAACAGTTTCCTCGGGGGTCCCTGTTGCCCTGGCACCTGCAGCTACCTGGGCAGATCACTGTCCTTAAATGTTGCAGCAATTCCTTTTAAACCTCGATCTGACCTACTTACACCCCTCTCTGGCTCCCCTCCCCTCCCCTCCCCGGCTACTACCAGTGTTCTGGGAGCACCTGCTGGCCTTCCCTGTTGGTTGCCCAGTAACCATCCACCTGGGCATTAGGAGGCCTGGGCCTTGGTCACTGCAATACCCTGGGTCCTCCAGACAGTGCAGCGCCTGATTTGATGCACAAACCTCAGAGCTCTGCAGAGCACTTCTAACTTGTGGAAACCTAGGTCAAGGGAAGCACCCTACCCAAGATATGTTCACTTAGATTCTCATTTAAGTTACTGAACGTAGACTGGAGTGGCTCCCTGGTGGAATGTGTGCCTCCATGCATGAAGCCCTGGGTTCAGTTCCTAGAAACACAAAAGTGGAAACAACAACAAAACAAAACAAAAAAGCAAAAAACATATGAGTAATCTAACTACTGAGCAACAGAATTTACTAAATTGAGGTATATTTACATAATTGGAATATTAAGATATGAAAAAAATATGCTTATATTTTATAATGAAAATGTGTTATACTATTAAGAAATACAGAGAATCATACATAGTATGTTAGAGATTATGAATTGAAAACTGCTGAGAGGAAACTTTAAAAATAAAAGTTGAAGCCAAAATCAAAAACATTGATTTCACTTGTCAAACATTTTAGAGATTGCTCAGCTGAGCAGTATGTTTCTACATACTTGGTGATGGTCACTTGAGTTGTCCTTTAGGAACTAAAGACAGCTCCAACACATTGAAAATACTGTCCCTTCACTTGGGCTGTGTAAGCATCCCATGGGTGGTCTTCCGACATCAGAAGGCCAAAAAACTCACTCACCAAGGCTGCATTTATAAACAAGGGTCCTCTGGAACTCTCTGAAGTACAGACATACATGAACAGACCGCTGAACATTTCACTGTGTTTCTCCACTAGGCCTCAGACCAGCCTGTCTATCCCATAAGCAGCACTAAACCTTACCCTTTGGAGGCTTAGTTGATAAAACACTATGACCCAAACCACTTCCATATTGTAGTCCATCATAAAAGAAAGTCAGATCGAGAACTGAAGCAGAGCCATGGAAGAATGCTACTTACTGACTTGCCCCACATGGCTTGCTCAGCTGCTTTCTTATACAACCCAGGGCCACCTGCCCAGGGGTGGCACTGCCCCCCCCTTGTGGGCTGGGCCCACCCACATCAATCTTTAACCAAGAAAATGTACCATAGACTTGCCTACAGGCCACTCTGGTGGAGGCAATCTCAATTGAGATTCCCTCTCCCCAAATGATCCCAGCTTGTATCAAGTTGACAAAAACAGACAAACAAACAAACAAACAAACAAAAAACCCAGGACACCTTGTAAGTAAACGATAGTGCCCCTCCTCTCCTCTTCCATAATGGAATAATAAGAAGGACCTATCTCCTGAAAATCTTACCCCGTGCAGGTAATTGTAATTGCTCTGATTTTGAGAGGGGAATGGCCATGTCTTGACTGGAAGAAAGAGCCTTACCTCAGCCGACACTGGGATGGTCTGAGCTAAAAGCCTTATTCAATTAGGGATAGTACAAAAGGAGGCCATACTGTCCAGGTATGGCTCCTTCCTTAGAAGGGCCCTTCTTCTAAGAGAAGGTAGCAGAGTAGGCACAGGTTGGTCCGTCCCTAAGGCCTCTGTTCCTCCATCCTGAGCACGGCACTTTACTTTGAAGTGACTTTACCTTATGTCGATGTTGTACCTCTGCACTTGCCTCCTGCAGTCTCTTTTACCCAGCACACATTTTGGCTCCTGGGATTAGGAGGCCAGGGTGTGTTTCATTTCTTTCTGTGCCAATTATTATTCTGTGATCACAACAAACTAGTAGAAATTTCTAAAAGGGGATTTATCGGGAGGGGATTGGGGTCAAAAGAGGGACCAGCAAAGGACACTAGAAAGGGGTTGGCATTAATACATGTACTCTTCCCTCATTGCTGATGGGTAGATACAAGGTTTCTTGATTCCTAAAAGGAATGTGTTCATGGCGAAACAAGGATTAGGTTAGTGCTGAACCCTCCAGGGTTATACATTTTAACTCCACAGAGAATGATGTTTAGGGAGGGCAGCACCGCCTTCCCAGACCAAGGTTACTGAGTGTGTCTGGTTTGCTTTGAT